TACCAGTGATTCGTCCCGTACTTCTTCTGATGCTGATATATCCGATCGAGGATCAGTGTCCAGTTATGCATCATCTTCATCCCGAGGTGATTATTCCCATAAGTCTAGTCGTCGATCCTCCAAGTCCGCTTTACGCACTCCATCTGTGACCGCCAGTTCCGGGAGTGAGCATTCGGAATCCCCAGACTCCTCGAGGTCAAACAACAAGAAAGTGCGTGCTCGTAAACGCGCTTCAAATCGATCACATCAGGTATCCACTCACGGTTCGGCGATTCCCACCCGTATTAAGGGTAGTGTGACCACACAAGATCTGGTTTGGATGTTACAAACTGGTGGTGATGCTCGGTCGAATGAGTTCAGTCTAGCCGCGGAGTTAAACTCAATTCTTTCAGCCACAATGTCCCCTACCAGTTTTGTTCGATACCCAATCGGAGTCGGTCTACCTCAAAGTCGTTCTGTGGATACAACACTGGCTCGAATTCTCATGGATGAAAGTAAGTTTGGTATGAAGAAACTCACTCAATCTCGTTCTGATCAGGATTTTGATCTAATCATTTGATCGACCTTGAGGGAAGAAAATCACACGAGACAGCAAAAATACCGTTATGCTTAAAAAAGACTATAGAAGCTAACCAAATAAGGATTCTGTCAATAAAACGTGAAACAGTTTATTAGAAATTTTTTCACTTTTGTATAAGCTTTTACGCTTTTCAAGGCCCTACTGTTATATCAAATTTGGTAGCAAAGGTGTAAAATTCCTAGAAGCTGGTCAAGACAAATACTATTCAAAGTTTTCACATCGCCATCCGTTGATAGATTTCAGTTAACCGTAGTCTCTTTTCCTGAGCATTGATCACAATTTGGTTTGCCCTGAAAGAACTTGACCGCTTTTTCCTCCGTGTTATACCCCAATAGCAGAGCATGTTTACAGTTGTGTTTCTAACTCTGACAAGAGGGTTTTAATTCTCCGCCATCATTATTACTCTTTGAGTAGTTATTCCCACTGGTGAACACAGAGCTTAAAAACAATGTTGTGGCCGGACGAATTAACTAGGGTTAGCGAGGTTCGTTTACCGCGTTTATCGCATAGTCTTTTTGATTTGCGTAACTCGATTGAGAAACCCCAACTACAGATTGCTCTGTCTGCTCAATCGTGTGTTTTCCTCTGACAGGCTAATTGTCTGTAGTTCAAACTAACACGCTGGTCAGTTGTCTGGCTCTCCGCTAACATGAACATGTGGCTTTCGTCATTCACACTCCACTAGCAAACCCTCACCTAAGTAAGTGCTGTTGATAAGACCAATTTCACACTGAAGCGGTGATTGTAGAACCATTCATGGGTCTATCAACACCCGCAGCTCCCATAAGGAATTGGTTAAGTGAAAATGAAATAAACGCAGATCGTGTAAAAACAAATTTCTTTTTGGTAATCCACCTCAAACGTTCACGTTTTTTATATGACAGATGTTATGTACAGTGATTGGATTAGGTTTTATAGCCACAACCACTCAACGGAGATGGGGAAATATCCATCCAGAACACCATCTATTGAGTACAAAAGGGGCGTAGTTTAGAGGGGAAACAGCAAGAAATATCATTAGGCAATTCCATGTTTCTCGAACAAAAGGTAAATTTGAATGCTACCGTTCTGAAGATTTCTAAATGCATTGGGTAAGGGTGACTTAACACCTTCGACCGGGTTTCGCGTGCAAATAGCAGTGTGTGAGAGGGGGATCGAATTGGCGAGCAACAACTGAGCAAACAACCAAGGGATTGTGCATACAGTGTTCATTCCGGTGAGCAAAACGTTTTGAGAAATCAGCTCTATAATCCTGGGGATGGAAGATCGCTGTTCAATGGAAAACACTATGTGCCAGTCCTGCACAAGATATACAAGACAATAATACTTTGACATTCTCTATCTTCAAGGCTAGCTCATCAACAGTGGTCAAACAAAACGTTCACATAACCCTTTGATGTGAAGCTAATTGGTGATTGGGATCACCTGAGACTCGTTACTACTCATTTCATTAGGTATCAATGACACCATTTCCTGTTTGAAGTATTGAGTTATATTTTGCAAATGGATGTTTGGCAGATTTGAAGTTTCTACGGCGATTGTGAAAAGCTCAGCAATCTCGGTGGGATTCGAACCCACGCATGGACGCCGCCTACGCCTTGTACGCGCATGCTCTACCAGCTGAGCTACGAGGCCATACCGATAGCACTGATCTGTTCACATTCAACCTACAGAGTCATATGGCATTCACCAATTACCATGTAAGCTGACTGCTCCGACAGGTTTTCCTTAGAATTCACCGGAGTCTACTGAATGAACATCTAAGACAAGGTTGATTGTGCAAATGGATGTTTGGCAGATTTGAAGTTTGCATGGCAATTTGGAGTTATATTTGCTTGAAAAAACATACACCATATTTTTTCTCAATTTTTAAGTGAATTCACAAATAAGGTGTCAATAGGCATGCGACGAAATAACAACAATAAATAAAAACAGTTCCTTATCAGATGATACGGAAAGAAACTGAAATATTTGTTTTAAATTAATAATGAATTCATGAAAATTTGACTCCTGCAGCAGACCTTGAAATTATCCATTTATGAAAAAACTAAAGCCTTATTCAGTCTCAATGTTGGTCTGCACTGTGCACATCCACGTTACACCAAAATGTATCAAATCTGCCTTGTACTGTTTTATTACTACCCAGTCTGCCCAACCGGATTAAGGGCTGACCTGAGGGACCTGATGCGCAGTCTTCGACTGACTAATTTCACTCATCAGGCTATTTGACGATGCCTCTAGTCAACTATTACTTGGAGGTCGATTTTGGACTAATCCGATCATACGCCCTTTGGATGGGATTCTTAATAAAACCCATTGTTCAATGAAACCGGTAACCACGATATCACTAGTTGAAATGTTCCTTCTGTGCCAAACATGCCTACCAGGTTCCATTCCAAGTCAAAATCAAAGTTTTATTGTGAAAAATTATCACCAGCCCGCGCTTTTTGATATCACAGGGTTTTCGTGCAACTAAATCGATTGATCGAGCACACAGATGAGGCATATCGAAACGTTTCACTGCTTCTTTTACTGCCGTGTACATCGAAATTTAATTATTTGATCCCTTGAAAGCTTTGCTCGCATCTGGTGGCAACATCCGGTAAATTAAGAGGAGGTCCGACAAACTGTACTGAATGCAGATAATCTTCCCTAAAAATATAATCACTGTTCTCTGTTCCCGATGAACTGGACAAACATTGTTTGCATGATTGTTCACTTACTCTAGTACAAATTATAGTTTGCTATTTCTGAACGTAGCCCAAAGAAACCTTGCTTTGATTGATCCACAATTTTACTTGAAAGTAGAAAAAGATCATTGGCAGCAGTACCGCTGGTTTCTTCTTTCAGACTGCTTGGTGGAGCCTGAGGATAATAAATTTCATTGACTAGAAACCCTAGCTGGTGTGACCCTAGACCATATGGGCACTGGAGCGATTACACATCGCATTTTATTTCTTTTCCACTTTTGTTCCGTTCTGTGCAGTATTAATACCTTGTCAGACTCATGTTACTTGCTACCTCAACTTTCTCTGCCACAAAACGACCCCGTTGTGATAAACCAGCTTCTTCTTACTTGTTCATGGATGCCATTTATAAGACTGCGGTATATGAAGTTAATTTGAAGATTCACTGGTGGGATTGTGTTTGTCTGCTTAGCTCATCTCATAATGATTAAAATATAACATTTTTTTATCCACGATCCTTTCACATCTACGTTTACGTGTGTGTGTTTGTCGGTGCTCCGGTTACAAGGTGATGTACAAAGCTCGGAAACAACATCCAATCTGATGATTGACGCTGCCAGCTCCGTCAGTGGAAGTGGTACCACAGGGCTCCCGAACCAATTGGCTCAGAATGGTACCCCACAGTTACATCAGGACTTGGACTTGGTCAACTGGAACACCGGTCTCTCGGCCAACACAACGACGACGTCAGTGGCTGCGGTGGCGGTGGCTGCAAAACAGTTGACAGACAAACCGGACTTGATTGGCATTCAAGCGGGCACGGGGACCAAGGTATTGCAAGCATTTTGGATTGCAAATGATTTTAGGATATCCGTATATATATATATATATATATATATATATGTGTGTGTGTGTGTGTGTGTGTGTGTTTGCGTGTGTATACAGAAGTTATGTAGGTCTCTCAAAGTAAATAAAACACCACAAAACACCTCGCAGAATATAAAAATGTCTCTTCACCTTTTCAAGTCACGAGACAGTGGGGGTAGAGACGATCAATAGAAAAGAATCGTTCAACTTTTTACCCACAATCTTGATAATTTGTGGTTTGGAAATAGTGGAGGCGAAAAACGTAACGAGAACTAAAAAGCAGCTGCTAATACCAGACAACACCTAATGCATTCTGGCATAGAGTGATTAACTGAGAAGTCTATACAATAGAAAAGACTGTAAACGGTTTAAAGGCAAAGGTAACGTGAGAGTGAACATCAGACTGATCAGGGGAGTTTTCAATGTGAGGTAACTTTATAGTATGCAAAACGATACGATACTACGGTTAAATAATCCGTTCCGTGAAAGATGTTTTTCGTCATACGGTGATAAAATACAATATCCAGGAAATCTATCGTTTTATTTAACTAACTTATCGATAGAAATAGGATAGGATGCGGAAGAATAGAAAGGTTGAAAAGATTTCGGGGTCCATCGAAAAATGTGTAAAATGGATTTGCTGTAAAAGAAAGTAAGTCACACTTGTGTTTCTCTCATTTCACCTCGGAAGTGGAGAAAAGCACTGACCGAAAAAGTTAGAATGGTAAACATAGTCAGGTTAGATCCGTATGAGGTAGTACTCAAAAGATTAAAGTGTTTGGAATAGACATTCGACGTGTATCACTATTTTTGGAAGATACAAAATGATGGAAGGTTTTCTAGATTCAGAAACATCATGTAAATCTTTTGTCCACTTTGACCTTTCCAGGTTAGGGGGCTTGTCAAATCCAGAGAACTCAAGGTAGCACTAATTTGTAAGTACAACTGTCAATAATGAGCTTTTTCCTTTGTCAAATAACTAGAGATAACTAGAGAAATTTAAATTTTACACTGCAGTCCAAAGTTCGAGATTATTTGATCGGTTTATTTTATGTATGGTGAAAGAACTAGGTGAAAGTATCAAACCTGATTTGAGTATAGTAGAGATGATAGTTGTAATCACCTGATTGAACCGTTTCTTTCTGTCAACAAAGAAAGCTGTTGGTTTATTTCTTTCCTCATGACAATATTTTATTTTGTCTGTACCCAGTGCCTCATAATTTGATTGTATCTTTAATAAAACCCAAAGAAGACGCAGTAACTTTCAACAACAAATAAATTTTACTATATTACGTTGTTTTATTTTGTTTTGTATGAGTAAGTGTGTATTCTGATTGGCGTTACTCAATCAGATCTACGTGATTTTGTTCCGCTTAGGTAAGATCGTATCAACCCATACAGAATCTCGGAAACTTCAAATCAATCGATTTACAGCCGAGAAGAGATATTCAGAAAAATGGATGAGGGGGGAGAAGGAGTATCTTGTTTTACGGACATAAAAAAATAAACTTACGCTTACATGTATTTCACATACTGGACTATCATCTGCGATTTCCACATGGCAATATTCTCAAAAGTCACGGAAAACACTCAATAATGGTAACTTGAGTCTCTGTTAATTTTTATCTTTTGCTGCTTTTTCCGTATTTGATGCTGAGTAGTCTGTTTTTTGTTAACGCAACATGAGGTCCGATGTGGTTTGAGACCACCAGATGAAAACTGTACCCTTTTAAGTAATTACATTGAAAATACATAAAAAAATTAAGAAATTTCATTTATTCCTATGTGCGCTTTGCTCATCCTTCCTCCGCTGTACCGCTTTCTCACCCTGATCCCCCACATACACACCTAAGCCGGATTATCGAACTAGTTCTGACCCGAATGCCCCATTGGATGCTGGTTCTGTACACCTCCCGACAGCCGAGACATCAAGCCACACACCAGGCACAACGATTCACAGGCCACTGGTCAGCTGCCAGTCTGCAAGTGCTATGCCTTATCTAAGTCAGGGCACTCTAATTGGTACACCTCGAACGGGTATCGGACAGGGACCTGGGGGTACACCTATTCCAGGACATAAGTCATCTTTTGATCCGGCCGTCCAACGGACTCCGGTAGGTTGATTCTTTACCCTATAAATCATTGGTGTTTCATATTAGTTTCATTTCCTTAAATTCCCCTCTTTTAGTCGTTATATTCATTGTGATATGTTGTTGCAAGTGGTATTTTTCTCCATCAAATCACAAATTGTTACCATGACCATATCACTACCGCAATCCCAACAAAGAATGGTTCTTACGATGGCTTCTATAACACGCTCTATGGGTCTCTCGTTCCAAATATTACGATGGGTTCGCCTAAAGTTAATGCTTCACCTCGATAACCAATTAAATGCCGGTGACTAGTTTGGAGTGAATTACGCAAAACTCGATTACACCCCAAGGCAGGCGTGGTACCACCGCCCCAGGCAGAATGGATCGGCAACTGCGTAATCGAATAGAGCGTCGGGGTCAGTGCAACTGGTTGTTGATATATTTTTAGAAGACTGATTACCAGCTCTTTCGAGAGAGAAAACATTTAAATTACTCTATACAAAGGATAATGCTAGGCTGCTCTGAACTGCTGAAGTGATTTATATCAACTGATGAAAAGCTTCGCCTCTTTTTTGTGACAATAAAAACCTGTTCGCCACTCACCAATTTTACGTAAACATGACTGGTGTCTGCATAAGCGACTAGCTGAAACCAAGTGAAACCTTACAGGACAAAAGGGTTTCATTGGTTGGTATTTTGTAATAGTTTTCCGTTGGTTTGCTAGAGAAGTGTTATACGAACAGCTGTAGTTTTTAGCTTCCGTCGACTAAGTTTCTCATGATCAGTATACTAATATCAATATCTTTAGTAGCTATTCTAAATGGTATTACATGAAGTAAGTAGTGCAGACTGTGCCCAGAGTAAATACGTGTAATAATTGATCAAATGATTGTTCGTTCGAGTATATGAAGCTATCTAGTCTGTTTTCGAGTGCGGCTGTGACTCGATTCAACGCTCAACCGAGTGCACGTAACCCAACCTAAATCGTGGAAGACGTGCGTAGATGGGTGGGAAATCGCTCACGTCACTTGATGCACACCTCAAATTATTGCTTTTTCTTCAACCCTGCTCTTTGTGTGCAGCAGTATATTCAACAATTATTCCAACAGAATCAGGATATGCGCAGCTGCCTTACCCAAATGTCTGACCGGTTGCAACGTCTCGAATTGATGGCCACATCAAGACAGAAAGGACAAATTACTGATACTGTAACGGAGTGGCAAACGCTGGGTCGATCTGGAGCTCAGTCTCTGGGACGCACAAGCACCTCTGTCAGTCAACTTTCCCGTGAAGTAAGTTTGCATCAAATGCGTAACTGAAGCACCAGCACCAAGCTTGAGTCATGGAAAATTAAGTTGTGTATGAGAGTGATGGAGGAGTTGATCTTTCCATATGATGAACTCGTCGTGTAAATGAGGTTTGAATTGAAAACCTGGGAAGCACTGGACAGCTGTTTCTACCTGGTTGGGTCTCATCAACAACGGAAATCCCTCCACTCGACTAGGGATTGATTCGGGGACCCCGCAATTAAATGCAAGAACGCTACCCACTCGGCCACCGGGAAGCTGAGCAGACCATTTCTCATTTTGCATACACACGATATGGCACAATCTATCATTTAAACAAATCAAATCCTCCATTTCTCTTATACAATAAATAATCAGGTTGTAAAAGTTTCCAACTGAAGATAGTGTTGAGATGAGCAAGGACAGCAACAAGCTCGCATAGATGTCTTGTGCCTTATCGTGTATACTCAAAATAAGAATCGGTCTGATCAGTTGCCCGGTGGCCGAGTGGGTAGTATGCTTACATTCTATCTCTGAGGTCCCGGGTTCGTGCCCCAGTTGGGTCGACGGATTCGCACTACTGATGAGACCCAACCAGGTCAAAACAGCTGTCCAGTGTCTCGTAGCTTTACAGCTCACGTCTCATTTACACGACGAATTCAGCATATAAATTGTATATCCCCTACCAAATAATGGAACAAATTATTGATTTCAAGTGGGCAACGTTTTTACCCAGCACAAAAACATCTGTGAACTGCCACCATTCCATTGAGTGAATAACTGAACATACGAATAGAATTTAGTTGATTCTTTCCCAATTTTCTCTCATTTTACATTAGTGACCCCCTAAACAAATCCAATATTCTTCGTATACAGCACACCGACAAGGTAGCCATTGATTCTGAATTTAACAGCGATTCTCTTTGTCCGAAACCTTAGACACAATTATTTTTTTATTTTTGAAAGGTCTTCTAATACCCAATTATTTATCAACGCATCCACACGTGATTATGCAACCTACTTGTCTCACCAACTGTGCTTAGCTTCCGTGATGAAATAGTTGCAACCGTAAACTCTGTGACTAGTCCCAAAGGGTCTTTACCGTGACTACTACCTCTAAAAAAATACAACCGTGTTTTCTTGTTTTATGCTTGCAATCTTGGAGCATTTAACAATGTTTATTCTCATATTAGTGTATTCTGATGTCACCCAACAATCCGTTTTCTGCAAAGCTTCAAATTAAAGACCTTACTATTTTACGTTACTCTTTCGAAGTTAAACCGCGCTCAAGATGTACACCCTGTTGTCGTTACTCGAACACATGGGTAACAAATATTTTCCTCCTGTAACACACTTCAGTAACATCTTTATGTTTCCAGATAGCAGTCGTCCAGTTTGATTTAACTCCAAATAATCAGTGTTTAAACTTCAGGAAGCAGATGGGGTCTCTTATCTACCTGGATATTTGGCACGGAAAACTTCAGTTAGAACACGGTCGCTCATACGATGTGATAGTGAGTATGCCACAGATAAATAAAGCTGATCTCAGTTTGACCTCACTTGAGGGGTCTATGTGTACATCCAGAGCAATACGTATTACGCTCGAGTGGTGTGGTGAGGGTCGATAAATGATTGCAAAATTCCGAGGGCATTCTACAGCCAAGTCGATGGCGTTGCTATGACTTTACCCCTCGCCGATATCTTCATGGCCAAGTTAGAGACAACCTTCTTATCTATTAGTTGTTACCTATTAGTTGTTATGTGAATGATATCTTTTGCGTCATTAACAAGAACACTAATCTTGCCCATGTCTAGCCAGAATTGGATGCAGTACATCCAGCAAGTAAGCTCACAACTGAACCAGAAGAGAATGATTGCCTTCATTTTTGGACGTTCATCTGACTAGACGCCCGATGGCTCTATCCAAATAAAGATATGCCGAAAAGCAACATCTAGTGGACAGTACACAAATTTGTATAGCTTTGTCCCACTCTATCAAAAACGTAACCTCATACGCAGTCTCCCGCATACAGAAAAACTGATTTGTTCAGAAGATACTTTGAAAGATGAATTTAACTATTAAGGAGAAACACAGGAACGATTAAGTCACTCACTAGTACAGTGGTTTCACACCTAGTTGAAAGAAATCACAATGTGAATGTGGCCAAGGCATTCCATCACCTGTATCGGGTTCATGGTCGATTACCGAGGCAGGTTCGATGTCGTTTGCGGGCCACAGAGGAAGCGGTAGGAATTCGTCTACACAACTCCCATCTGTGTGCCCAAAAACAATTTGTACAGGCGCTTAAACTCTCCTA